AATCAATTATGGACATGTTATTCATTAAATAATTACAGACATATTAACCCAAGATTTCAACTCGTCTTATTCACACTTACAAAAAATGTCATATACAAAGAAAGATGTGAAAGAAAGGTGAAAACATGAACTCAATTACAAAAAGAGAAGTTAGCTCTAATTATGAATATCTGAGATCACAAAGGACTTACCGAGAAGTAGTTTCGTTGATTTGTTTAAAATTATTGTGGAACACTATTTGTAAAGTATGGGTTTCCTTTTAAGGTCTTGCTAAGTTTAGTCAGTGTGCCGTTCCAACATCATTGCTACTTTCTTTTTTCCTTTTTTTGATAACCATGGTGTCCGGACCAACTTGCATGCACCTCAACTAATTCACAAGATACATGCCACCTCCCACCAGCCATAGGTACCAAGCATCACTACTACTTACTAACCTACTCGGTCTACCACTCACTCAATTTGATCAGCATATTGAAATTTGGCAAATATTTTAACATTTTTTTAATAAATGAAGAGATAATTTCATCTATTTCATACTAGGATGGTGCAAAAATATATACAAGTGATTGTGTGTGGCATCCACCATATAACACTGTCCTCATAACCTATAAATACTAGCATTCTCTCTTTACACCCACAGAATTGAGTTTTCAAATTACAAATTAATTAGTTATGTATAAGATTTCATTTGTCGATCCCAATGGTAATCAAAGGCTGCACAGATTTAAAAAAGTATTTTTAGCGGAGCAAGTCAGCACCTACTTCTCTGCAGTGCCAAAAAAGAGGAGTATAATCAAAGTTGAAATATCTGGTGTTTCTAGCTTATTGCTAAAATATTTCCAAGCAATTAATCAGGATCTCAATAATTAACACATAAATAAAAGTTGGACTACTAAGTGTAGTCAAACTTCAGCAAAAAAAAATTAAAAAAAATCAGAGTTCCATTAATTCACTTCAAAATACCTAAATTAGTCGAAAGATAAAAGCAAAAGACAAACTTTAATCGACCAATCAAATCAAGAATCACCCCATCGTTAAGATCAATAACAAAGTAAACAAAATCCATAAAAATCTCAAAAGGGTATATAAAAATCGGTATAAAGAGTTAAAAAAATTACCCTTTTCTCAATAGCATCAGGGGTTTGAGTGGCATCGGGTAATTGCTGAGAGTGAAGAAGAAGACCCTCTCTGCGTTTCTTGAGAAGATTGTCTTCTCGCTTATTCTTCCTGATCTCAACCAAATTGTCCTCTCTCCTTCTACGAGCTTCATCTGCATCAACCCCAATTTTGTAAGATTTCTTGCGAACTTCAGTTCGATTGCTGGGTCGAAGAGACATTTTTTTGTGGGAAATTGAGGGGACAATGCCTCTCCCTCTCCCTCCCTGTAGACAAAGAAAAAAAGCGGAGACTGGAAAAGTGAGAAGAAGAGAAAAACTTCAGTGAGGGTGAGATTGAAGAATATAAAAGGGTAGAAAAAGTAGAATTCTTACTTTGGTATTCTTGTTTTTTGCTTTAAAGACACGTTAAGGAAAATTACAGGCTAATTTTTGGTCTTTGTTTAAGACTTCGGGAGTTCCTAAGTCCTATTATATTAAAAATCTCTCTCACACGCACACCAAAGAGATAATTAATCTCTCTATTATACTATAAATATAAAAATAGGTCATGATTTATATTAGGGAAAATTGTATATAATAGCAAACTATTAATTCAAATTAAATGCTATAAATATACTTTAATTTAATTGTACCTTATAACAAACTATTGTTATTTTCGCCACTCTCCCTGGTGGAATCTCGCTCGCCACTCTCCCTGGTGGAATCTCGCTCGCCACTCTCGTTTGGTGGCAGTCTCGCTCGCCTCTCTCGCTTTTATACAAACACAAATGTATAAAATGTGTTTGTGTTTGTATAAAGCGAGAGGAAATTGTATATATACATATATTTTCGTTCCCCTCTCCCAGATCTCGCTCGCCACTCTCCCAAATCTCGCTCACCACCCTCGCTTCTCTCGCTTATACAAACAGAAATGAAATGTATAAATTGTGCTTCTGTTTGTATAAAGCGAGAGAAAATTGTATATACACATGCAAATACATATATCTTCGTCCTATACACTTATAATTATACAATACAAAAATTTCCCTGCGCAGTTTTCTTTTGTCTTTCTCTCTTTCTCGTTTTATACATACACAAATTATACAATTGATCTTTTGTATACAACTGTTTTCTTTTGTATATGTATAACGAATTATACAATTGCCTTCTTTGTATATGTATAGCGAATTATACAACTGTTTTTTTTGTATATGTATAACGAATTATACATATATATGTTTGCTATGGAGCGCAATTATGCAAACTTTGCCATAACATACAAATATGAATTTTGTATTTGCTAGATGTGAAAGTTGCTCTTTATATTATTGCCCCTTTTTAAAAAATTGTTTTTGATAAATATTATTATACATTTTATATACAATTTTATACATTATTATAACACTTTGTTTTGGATGATTGTTACGTATTGTTTCATAATATATTGTATTGTATTGTTTTAATGAATACAATGTTCGGATAGGTTGTATTGTTTTCCGTCGTTACGTAATTTCACAAATCCATAATTTGAATGATAAACCTACGAGAAAAGTAGGATACGTGATAGATCTACTCTAAGAATGTATGGTAAAGGATGAAATATAATATTAAATAATTAATAAAGATAAATTGAAAATAAAATATTAAGGTAACGACACAATCACACCAAATCGATCCTTACATAAAATAGGTCTTTCATTGTTATCTAATGATACAACACAATACAATTTAAATAACAATCAAAATAAACATTGTATTTTAACTAACAATATAATACAAATACAATAGGTAACAACCATCGAAACAAGGTGTAAATGTACTTCACATATAAAGATAAAAAAAAAATGTGTTGCAACATTTTTTTTTCAAAATTAATTTGATTGATACTATTAAAGAATTGGAGAAGAAATTTTAAGATTTTTCTGTTGCATTTTTTTTTGTTATGAATTTGCAATTTTTTTATAGTTGAAATATGAACGCATACGAACTTGGAAAAGAATAGTGGAAAATCATTTTATTTTTCCACTTGAATAATTGCAAAATAAAAGAAAAATAGAAAATGCTCATTTTTTCATATATTGTTTTGGGGCTACACATTTGCAAAATTACAACTGGGTCATTTTATTGCAATATATATGTGTGAGTTATAAGTGTGTGCAATTTTTTCATTGCTCTTTTAATTTATCAAATTTCATGTATACATAGTTAATATATAATTTTGTGATAATTAGAAAATCTGATGAATTTAATATATAAACTTGTTAATTGAGTTATAAGTAACAAAATATAAAAGAAAAATTAAGATTGTGCTATACTTTGTACTTAACATAAAAATAACAACCTGCACAAACATGAAGAATCACACACTTACATAATTATCAAATTTTAGCAGAGACATGGAATATTTTAAAGAGAAGTTGTTGAAAGACAAACACTATTGTAAAAATAAATTCAGACTACGTTAATTTTAATCTCCATAATTTCGTTTGAAGATGGTCTTAGATTCTCCCATGTCACTGAAAAATCAATATATACATTCATCAAACTTGACTTTAATTTATATTTTTTAAACATTGAGAAAGCCTATTTTTTTTATTTATAAAAAAAGTAGTATGTTTTTTTTTTGGTGGGATAATTCAACGACAATCAAATAATCGATAAATTAAGGAACACGTAGTTTATATTTTGTGAAAACGTTAGAGTCTGTAACATTATTTAAAGGCATTTTTATTTAACACACATTAATATTTATTCGAAAAATATTGATATTGAATAAAATAATGATCAATTTATATCTTATTTAATGAAAAATCATTATTCTTGTTTGGGCTAACCCATCGGTGGCCCCTTAAATTTGGCACGAAATTTCATTTAGGCACCTTAAGTGGGCGATGTTCATTTTAGACACCTCATGCAGGGTCTCGATGTGTCATTTTGACACTTTTTGCTTACATGGCTTAGTGAGTGTAATACACTTGTTGAGCGCGCATGAAAAACCTATTTAGTCGATTTTTTAATTATTTTTTTTCTTCTTCTTTCCCATTTTCAGCCACCATTTTTGCAAACTTAACTATCCAACATGGTGAATAAAAATAGTTACAATAAAATGATGAAAAATGATTGGAAACTATTTTAGAAATTTAGGAATAGACCCATTTCAAGATTAAATATTAAATTATTCATGAGATTCTTTCTTGAAAGAATTAAATATTTAAGTAGGGGTATTTAGAGAAGGCCGGGGGGGGGGGGGGGCGGGGAGGGGGGCAGGAATTTCTGCAAATGGGTAGGGTTTTTGGAGAAGACAATTGGGGGTGGGGTGGGGCGGGGGGCGGGGAGGGAGGCAGGTGTTTCTCCAAATGGGTATGGGTTTTTGGAGAAGACAATTGGGGGTGGGGTGGGGTGGGGGGGTCATGTGGGGATTTTATTGATTTAATTTGTTTTAAAAAAATTATTTGGGCAAAAATCCACGTGTCATTGAGTCATTGGTTACTTTATATTTTTACTCAAAATTCATTATCTACCAATTGTTTTTGACAAATGTCGTCATTTAATTCGCCACTTTACACGTCATTCGCGAGTGTAATACACACACTTCATATATTTTTGTTGATTGGCAAAAGAGTGTCAAAATGACTTAGCGAGACCCTACATGAGGTGTCTAAAATGAACATCGCCCACTTAAGGTGCCTAAGTGAAATTTCGTGCCAAATTTAAGGGGCCACCGATAGGTTACCCCTTCTTGTTTTAACGCACTTTCTAATATAAAAATAGCTCTATTATGAGATTGTTGTAATTATAAAGGCATCTATGTATATTAATAATTACTCCTATCTCATACTTACCTTGCAGTGTAAACCCCCGAACCAAAGATATATACAAGATTACAACAAAATATAGGGGCTAACTTGCAATTAAACCAAAGAAGAAGGGGTTTGCAGGATCAGAAGGACAGAGGGTTTAAGCAAATCTCCAAGAAAGAATTATGGCATCAATGGCGAATCAAGAAATAAAGCAAGAACAGCAAGAAGAAGATTACGGCGTGTTGTTATACTACAAGTACGCCACCATTCCCGATCTTGAAGCACTATTCAACTTCTATGAGTCCAATTGCAAGTTTCTTTCCCTCCTGGGTCGTGTCCGCCTCTCTCACAATGGCGTCAACGTCACTGTAATTTCTCTCTCATTTCCATCATTTAAATGGAATATGAAGACCCCATTTGTTCAAAATTGTATTTTTTTGCATATCATTTGTATTGCATTAGAGACTTCATAATTTGTTTGATACTTACTAGCCATATTTGGAGAGTCAGAACAATCTTTATATTTTGTCATCTCTTATGTAGTTTATACATAAGTAAATTTTATTGGACTTCGAACTCCAACATTCTTTTGGGATAGAAGGAGTAGTACGCACTTGAAACATCTATGTTTTTGTGTGATGAGTGTCCAAGTATAATGATTCTGACCTATTAGGTGGGTTTCTGCAGGTTGGGGGAAGGTTATCTTCTTTGAAGGAGCACATTGCTGCAGTGAAGTTGAATTGTCTGTTTGAAGGGACAGACTTTAAGCTTGCATCTTGCCATGAACCATCAAATGATAGGGTCGCCGTGGAATGTGGATTTACTTCCCTCTCCATACGTATAGTTAAGGTTGGATTACTGATTTCATCCTGTTCTATTTTTATGTTTTCATTTGCAGACGAAGTTATATGGTTGATTCTGGTTAGTTGTCAGACTTGGTCATACTCATGGAACTTAATGCTTTCATTAGTAGCAAATTAGTAAGTTAGTTGAATGAAAACTTGCCCATGGTTTTACTTTTTCTTTAAATAGAAGTTTGGTTGCTACTTTCTGTATGATATAATTAAAGCTACTGCGAATGTGTGGGCAATTGGCATTGACCCTGGTACTCACTGTTCTTGACTTGCACCATCGCAGTTGCATTTCACAATTTTATTTACTTAAAGTCCACCTTTTTGGGTAGAAGTTCTACTACAACGTATAAACTCCTAAGTCATATGTTTCTAATTTAGCAATTAGAAATTTGAACTATAACGAAGTTTGATATGTCCAAAAAGAAAACAAAAATTGCAATGAATTTGTTTATTGTATGTATTCATTGAACTATTAGTCTTGACACCTCTATTGATTTTTTTCCCAAGCCATATAACTTGCTAAGTAACATAGGATCTCAAGAAGCTAGAGTAATCTCCTCCAAAACCCTTAGATGATTCTTTCTTTGTGAAGCCAAACCATTGGAGCAATGTCTCGGAGCAATCACACTTGTGCCCACTTTGTGGGTCCAACCACACTCTGCAAGGTATTGATTTTGAAATACCGGGGACTATGACCCTTCTACTCTAATTCCAACTTAAATATCTTTTGTTCGCAGCAGGATTCAAACCTGTCACTTGCACCTAATCCGTACTTCACAAAATTTCATCCTTGCCTTTGGCCTAGCCCTTTGGGCATACCAATGGAGCAATGTGGAAATAGGCTATCTTGATACTACTCTGTCTTGATCCTATATTTTTTAAATGCCGTTGTGGGTCTTGGTTTTCGACTGGCATCTTCTACGTACGCATGATATTGCTGATATTTCTAACCAAAATAACAATTAGGGTATACCTGATTTGGGTGTCTACTAAAGAAAACAAAATGCTGCTAGCTTCGGCTATCCATTTGACATGGCCAGCAAATCTTGGATATACTGTCTATGTGGAGTGAAACCAACTGTAATCGGGATGTTGAACTTTGTCTACGCTAATAAGAGAGCACATAGACTTTGAAATAAAAAAAGCAATTGAGTAAGCATCTATTGATAACAATAAAATGTGTTGAATTTTCTTATATGAAGAGGAAAATCTGGCAAATTTTTGTTGAATAATTGACTTGTAGTGAAGTTTGTCTTTATCACTTTCTTGATCGTTTTCTTTCCAAGTGATGCTAACCTCACCTTCTCACTCAGGAATTGGTAACTTTAAGTTCCTGTCCCCTTCCAAGTTCACCACCTGATATTTCAAATGCGGGGAAGCATCTATCTGCGGCCGAATTCCACTCTGTCCTTCACAATGTTGGTTTGTGCTCCACCTCTTTGATGAAGCTTAATCAATGTGCTTTTAAGTTAACTATGAATTATGATTATTCTGATGTTCTCACATTGAGATTTGTAGGAGGAATCTGCATATTTCTCTAGTAGCTGTTTAATTTTCTGTTTTTTACCAGGGAACCCTCAAGACAAACTGATTTCAAGCAGCGATAAAGGAACTGTCCTTGTTGATGCAAGGAATTTATATGAGACTAGAATCGGGAAGTTTTATACTCCAAATGTGGAGACTTTGGATCCAGAAATCCGGCAGTACAGTGACCTTCCTTCTTGGATAGATAACAACTCTGAGAAGTTGTGTGGGAACAATATTCTCATGTAAGTGTTGTTCAACAACATTGTATCATTGTTGGGTGGATTATAATTCTGATGAATTGCATGAACTATTTCTCTTATGTTCATTATTCTGATTTTGCATTTTTATTTGATGCTATCTTATGCATTTTACATTGAGAGAAACTGTACAGGGTTTACTTCTACTCAGTTAAAGTGTTGCAGCTATCCTGCTTCATTAGTTTGTTCCCTTCGAATTTCCAGTCTCCCCTTGGCTTTATATTACATTGCAGGAGATGATTTGTTCTGAACTTCAAATCTGTGGCATTGTGCCTTTATTTTGCAGTAGTGAACTAAAAATTTCTTTCCTTTTGTTGATGATCTGTGCCCTTCAACAATTATGTATAGAACACATTGTGTCTGCTGTCTAGTTGCAACAACTTGCAGCTTATTCCTCTTACTGTTTTTAAAAAAAAAAATTGTTTTTCCCCTTTTGTTTCTTGGATATGGCTATATGATACATTACGATCTGTAGATTTAGGTGCATGGGAAAGTGTTAGGACTATTAGGAGTAAAAAATGTTGGATAGTGCAACAGGCATTTAATTCAAAGTTAAGATGTTAAATAGCATTGTATTGATGCTTAACTATTACTTGCATGCAATGTGCTATAATGGTAGTATAGAAAATTTCTTTAGGAATATTAGGATTTGGAAGGAAAAGAGTGGATGAGAAGTTGCAGAGGATATTGTGTTAAATGCATGTAATTCAGAGTTAGATGTAACACTCTATGGATTGCTTGCATTCTAATAATGATCTACATCCTGCTGTTGTATGAGAATCTGGGTTTTTATCGCCTGTTGATGTTTTTCAGGTACTGTACGGGAGGAATTAGATGCGAGATGGCATCAGCCTATATCAGGTCTAAAGGTGCCGGCTTTGAAAATGTTTTCCAGGTAAGCTGTTATGAAAACCAGATCCTTCTAGTGCAGTTGTTTAACATTGTTGGGCCTTTCTCTGGCATTGGAAAGTTCATCTGAACTATGATTTATATTTTATTACGTGCTATCTGATGAATTTGGAATGTGAAACCTCATGTCAATGGTTAACCTTTTAAAATTTTGTTTTGAAACCATGAAATTGATCTTTTAAGCAAACCATGGTAAGATCGAGATTTCATAATGCTTAGATGGACGTGTTTGAAATATCCATGTTTTGCTTTCTAAAGAATTTCTTTTGGAGAACAACCAGATCCGTTTTAAATTCCATTTCATGATTATCAGGATCTTTGTAATGTGGGTAAAATCTGGCTTACGGACTAAATGATGTTGAGTGTTGATTCAAAGTATTTGCTTTCCACAGCTTTATGGTGGGATACAACGATATCTGGAGCAATTTCCTGATGGTGGTTTTTTCCGAGGAAAGAATTTTGTCTTTGACCACAGGTATGATCACTGTATTTCCATGCTTCTTAGTCAAGCCCTAGTCAGATTCTTGGTTTCACTGATCCAGCATTCTCACTGATGTGATTACAACCTTACTAATACTAGGAAACATCTCTGTCCAAAATATGTGTCTCTGCACTTAATCTCAGAGGAAATACTAGAAAATAAAATGCAGCTCTTGATGTTGGCACATTAAGCATATATAGCTCTTTAACTCGATCCGAGGTCTTTTATATATATTTATTTATTTCCAAAAGATGCATAATACCAGAAACTTATTTTTTCCTGCATCAGTATCCCTGCCATAATATTCTTTGAGAAGTGCTGTGCTGGGTGTCATTTACTTCCTTTGTAGAGTATTCATCATTCACTGGAGGCATTCTCAATGTTTTGCCTTGCTTCTTTCTGATTTTGCCAGGGTTTCAGTTGGAAGCTCAGATTCAAGAATTTTGGGTACTTGTCTTCTCTGTAGTTCTCCTTTTGATGATTACTCGTCACGGACCCGGTGCACGTACTGTAGGATGCTTGTATTAGTCTGTGATAATTGCCGGGTAAGTATCACTAGGAAGATTGATCTTACAATCTTTTGATTGCATTAGATTGATTGGGTACTTAAAACTATTTGGTGGCTCAAAAATTCAATGCATACTTGTCTTGTGAACTTGATAATTTGAGAAGGAGTTTCAGTTGTATTTGCTTAGACTCTCACAGGAGCTCTTCATAAAGTGTGAAGATATTTTGACTCCCTGCTTTTTTATTTAACTAGAAACCTTGACCTGGCAGTTTCAGTTGCTTGTTAGAGATATACTTTCTGCCAGAATGTTCTTCACTATCATTAATAATCACAAATAGGGTATAGAAATGCTATGCGGCAGAAAGAGATGTAACAAAGTGGTAGGCAAGTTTCGTAAGACGGTTGTGAGACCATCAATTTTATATTGGAATGAATGTCTTAGAAATGTGAGTGTCAAGATAGATGCGCAGTTATACATGATTGGGTAAAATTAGAAATCATTAATTCCGGCGATGAGCTCAAGAAGCACATATAGAGGATAGAATGAGAAGGTTGCATGAAATGATTTGGCCATGTCCAACACAGACCTCTACATGCAATGTCTTGGTGGTACCACACTATCATGATTGACAATGATAAAAGGGTATGAGCTACATGTAAAGTCAATGAAGGAAAGTTGTCTTAGCTGACCTACAATTTTTTGGAAAATTTTAACGAAGACTAGAACATAAAAGGAAAGGATTTGTCTATGCAGTGCCGCATATTGGAATTTAGGCTTAATTGTTGTCATTATAGTTACATTAGGGCCAATATTTGCCAGGATTCTCAACCTCCACTTTTAGATAATCTCCAATTTACACTTTTTTCATAACGAAGAAATCCGTTATTTCCAGTTTTGAAACTCATGGGATAATAGCCCCTCCTCTCTATCTTTCTCCACCTAAATACTCGGTTTGGTTCACCAGAAAGGATTCAGACCCATGATGTTTACTTACCCTGCAGGTGTGTCTCTAATTTACCTTTAATGACACAAGTATTTGAGTTGGAATGAAAGGGGTCTGAATAGGGGGTTAGATATTAAGGGTTCATCTAGCTAATTCCAGCTAGCTTGAGATTGAAAACTAGTTGATTGGTTGATACAAACAGAAAATAGTTTTCTTCATATAGTCCTTTTGTTGTTATGCCATCGACAAATTATGCAACGTGAAAATGAATACCATAAAAGTATCGATAAACATGGATGCAGAAAGAAATAAAGGGGAGAGACTAGCTGCAGGATGTTTGTGCAGTACTTGAACTGTTATTGCATGGTGTGTATATAGGAGTGATGAGTGCATGAAGCATTTTCTTAGATGGTTAACTGCTAGATCTCAACTAATGATTGTTGCTTGTATTGCCTTTAGGCTTATCTGGTGAGAAATTTTAGCATTAATTTTGGGTTCCCATCAGAAACCTTGATGATGGATATGCATACCTAGTAAGTACTTTTGGGTTGATTCTTCCAATTAATTGATGAGCAAGGCCCATCATATCTTCTATCTTTTTCTGGACTTCCGGCGAACTACTAGATATCTGCCTTTCAGTTAGAAGGACCTGATCTGTGGTTTGGGCTACCAGTACTGCAGCTACCTCCCTGTCCCTGTCCCTTTCCATCTCATCTGCTTTATCTTTTTATGAAATCAAATCAATTTAATAATATTGCTTTAAAGTATTTGAGTTTGATGTAACATCTATGTACCCTTTTCAAATATTCAAAGTTCCAAGTATTACATTATTACTGTAACATAATGGTCTTGTCTCAAAGTCAGCTTTGTTTGCTCAATTTGCGATATAAGGTGTATTTCCTTTTCGATTGTTTTGTCATCTTTTCTTCATTTCTCTCTTCCTTATGTAAATGTTTCCTGTCTTGCAGGCGAAGGATTCTTCTTATGTTTGTGAACTGTGCCAGAAAAACAGCCAGTGTATTCAGCTAACTTCAGCAACAGAGTTTGACAACTCAGTGGAAATATCAGAAGTCAGGGAGCTTGAAGCTGTCTCTACCTCGGATAGAATTGCTCCATCTCCCTTGGTTTCAGGTAATACTATGGTGTCTAGTATTGTCCGAGTTCAGCTTTGCATGCACTCTTTGAACTTTAATCTAAGCATGGCTGTATGACTATCCAAAAATTGCAGAGTAGATATGCTGCACCCTATCAGTTTTGATTTAAGCTGTGCTGTTTGATAATCGAAAAATTGCTATAGTACACCATCTAACATTGTCATGTTTCTTTTATTCCTCATGGCTCAGTGTTTATGATTGTTTCTCGAGTCCCACACTTTGTTGCCAGCACACACATATTTAGGAAAACTAATTCAGGGATATGCTTTTAGAATACTTCTTTTCTCCTGCTTGGTGTTTCCAAACTCTTGACATTATGTAGTGGAATACACTGCAGGACCCAGGACATTGCGAAAACTGAGAATTCTTTGCCTTCATGGCTTCCGCCAGAATGCTTCTGGTTTCAAAGGCAGAACTGCATCGCTGGCCAAGAAACTCAAGAGCATTGCTGAACTTGTTTTTGTGGATGCACCTCATGAATTGTCTTTCATTTATCAAATTCGTAGAAACTGCGATTCTGCATCAGAAATGGAAAATAACCGTCCATCCTCAGAGAGTTGCAGTATAAAGTTCTCATGGTTAGTTGCACCTGATCACAAGGGAGAGAACGATTCTGATTGGAAGATAGCTGATAGTCCATTTGATCCTCTTCAGTACCAGAAACAAACTGAAGGTTTCGACAAATCAATTGCATATTTAAAAGACTTATATTCTAAAACAGGCCCTTTCGATGGAATATTGGGATTTTCACAAGGAGCTGCAATGGCCGCTTTAGTTTGCCTACATCAGCAGAAGCTAAGAGGAGAGATGGAATTCAGATTTGCAATTCTGTGCTCCGGATTTGCTGTTAATATGAACAATTGTCAGCAGGGTTCAATCAATGTTCCTTCACTTCATATATTTGGCAACGACAAGGGTAAAGATAGACAGATAGAGAGCCAAGCTAGTAGACATCTTGCTTCTGTGTTTGAGAATGGTTGCTCTGTTGTTATTGAACATGACTTTGGTCATATAATTCCTACAAGACCTCCATATATAGAACAGATAAAAGAATTCCTCAAACGTTTCATGTAAGTCAAAGCCTTGATGCACACCATCTTTTGCTGTAAAAGATTTGGGGATTATGCTTAGCTTGTACTAAAATGTTATAAAATTTGTAAACTATTAATCATAGTCCGTGGTTTCAAGTGATTTAGTTCTCAAGATCAATTCATTCATGGAGTTGGCCCATTATTTTAACTTTTTTTTTTTTTGCATAATTGGCTTGTTTCTTTACTTTTCTCCACTTAAATATCAAATTTGTGTTCAACAGAATTCAAATCTGTGATGTGTACTTAACTTGCATACTACTAGGTCTTTTGGTTTGGAATTAGTTATCCCAGGATTAATTATCCTAGGGTTAGTTATCCTGGGATAACTTATCCCATCACTATGGTATAAATGATGGAATAAGTTATCCCAAACATGTCAACCAAACAAGACACCAAACTTTTATTCTAGGACTATATATTTTTATCCCTCACACCAAACGAATTGTCTCAAGATCCTCTCATTTATCTTTGAGTTTTGCATCCTTTAGCCAAATTTATAAGAAAGAAAAATATTGGCACTTTAAAAAACAACTTATATAAGCATTACAATTCGTCTTATTCATTAATTTTCTTTTTTTCTTTCTAAAAAATATATTTTATTCATCCGTTTATCATTATGATAGGTGTCAAGTGGAAGTGAGTGATATGCAACTGAGGCATCCTAACAGATCAGTAGACTTGAACCTTGTTCCTACGTGACCTGATCAATTCGATCAGTCACTCACCATCTTTTTCATTATTCAAATCTTTGACAACACGAAACAATCATTGTTCAACTCTTTGACAACATGAAAAAACCAAAAGCTCTGCTCTCCCTCTCTATCTATCCAAGGGATGGAAATTGAAAATGCATGAGAAATACTTTTTAAATGAATTAATCAAATACAAATTATTTTATATGTTTCAAAAATACTTTTCTTAAAATTATTTAACAAAAATAAACCATTTTTACTTTTTAGCCACTTAGCCAAACAGACTCTTAAACCATAAAAAATATCCTCCCAAAAAAGAAAAAAGAGAGAAGAAAATGAGGGTTAAAATGTTAGAGATGAAGGTAAACGTGAGGGTTTTCTGCTGTTTCGCTAAAAAGAAGGGAGCCAAATCTGAAATAGCATAAATATTAGGACGAAATAGATAATTAAATATTTAACGGGTCGCTTACTACAAATATAAGAAGTCATAGGGACCTTAAACCCCAAAGGGAGAAAAGTCAAGAAACACATAACAAAGGAACCCCAGTTCTGGACCTAGTACCCCAGTCAAGAAGACTAACAAGAACAAGAAACAAGAAAAAAGAAACAACATGCAGGCTCTCCGAAGAAACCCACTTCACAGAATCTCCTCAAGATTCCTTAATCAAGTTTGTTTATCTTTTCTTTTATTCTTCCTAAGAACCTTGTCTGTTTCACTTCCAATTCTTGTTTTTGGGTTAGTACTTAGTAGTGTACATATATTGAGATATTGCATATTTCTTGTGGGCATTGAATTAATGTAGATATTCAAAACTTCCATCCCGTTTACCTGTTCGCAAATTTTAATCTTGAGTACTTTAGTTTTTGTAATGGAGTGGAATTTCCCCTCTTTCTTGGGTAAACTATGGTTTTTTTTGTTTGTTTAAAGTTGATTTCTGATGTCTAAATTTAACAAGTCTTTTTATTATTCAATTTATTTTGGTTTCCTGCTTATATAATATGATTTGGATATAATAGGTAGTCAAAACCAGTGCATATTCTACCAAGAAAATTTATGATGCTGGGCAGCCAACTCCTGCCACTCACCCTCAGGTAATTCTACACTGCGTATGTAGCATTGATACTTGGTAACATGGAATTAGGGCTTTTGACATTAACAAAAGATAAAGATTGAGTAAAATTTAATTCTTGTTTTCTTTTCTTGTACCCACCTTTCTTTGGAACACTCTGTTGGGAATAACGGTAAAATGTCGTTATGTAATTGCCTGCAGTTAATGAAGGAAGGGGAGATTACTCCTGGCATTACCAGTGAAGAATATATGCAGAGAAGGAAGAAATTATTGGACTTCCTTCCGGAGAATAGTTTAGCTATTGTTGCAGCTGCTCCCACAAAAATGATGACTGATGTTGTACCTTACAATTTTAGGCAGGATGCTGACTATTTATACATCACTGGATGCCAACAACCTGGTGGTGTAGCAGTTCTAGGGCATGACTGTGGTTTATGCATGTTCATGCCAGAACCAAGCCTCCAGGTACTTCAGGAACCATTCACTTGCCTTGTTTTTGTTGACAGGAAGCTGTTAATAAGAGGAGAGCTTTGTCCTATTTCTAGAACAAATATCTCAATTTGAGTAATATTTTTTCTTTAGATTTAGCTGCTACTATGGTATTATGGTTAGTATAGATTGTAGAAAGTTAAAGATTTCTTCCATTTTTAAAGTCAAAAAGTATTTTTAGGACGTTCTTTGGCAAGGAGAGGTGGCTGGAGTTGATGCAGCTCTAGATATATTCAAGGCTGACCTTGCTTACCCCATTAGCAGATTGCCTGAGGTAAACTTTTTTGAAGTATCGTATCTACAACTGCAAATAAGTTTGAGATTCTTGTTAGAAGCAAATACCTCTCACATTGATAAGTAAAACGGCATAGAGTAACATCCCTTCTATTGTGGAACCCTATAATCTTCTTTCCTCTTGATTATGGAATTTACTGTTAGAGAATTGGACCTATAAAGATGTCTTATAGATACTCTAACTGTTGCTAAATCCTTAGAATGGATTGCTGTGCAAAATTCCTTTTTCTCTTTTCTTTCCTGGAAAAGAAGTAGTTTTCCTCCTTAATATGTGTAAAAGGTATAGCTGGAACAAAGTGGACAGAATGTCAAAGTTTTCGCATATATAGAAATTAGGCTTGCCTTACCTAAAACTTCATGTTTGATGGGACCTATCACTGGATGTAACTTCTCCTCATAATATTTGAAATCAAGCAGGCATCATGTTAGGATGGGTTGAGAATATAATATTATGAGCATGAAATTGAAGAGTGAAGGTTAACACTTAGCTTTAAGGAGAGTGGACACTGATTTCTAAAAGGAAACTAGGATGATTTAGGCAGAGGGAATATTTTTTGTTAGACTGTTAGGTTTGCCTCTTAGACCATGTAATGACAATTAGTATTTAGATTGACAACACAGTGGACAGGAAAGGAAGATGTATATATGACCGAGTGTTATTTGTAGAGAACCGTATTATGGGTAGATTCTCTACTTATCATATACCAATTCCATATGAGCTTAAATCCGGGAACATCAATAAACTCTTCCCTTACAAAAAAGTACAGGAAATGAAGATGTGATGTACATATCATGATTATCTATATACTATATGTCAGAAAGGGAAATATGCCAATTATTTCCTTCGTAGCTGTCTTTCCTGTACATGGCTTCAGTGTAGTCACTTTATTTTAGTTGCTCCCATGTTGCAATTTCTCTTTTCTCTAATTTTTGCTGGACTTGTCAGATGCTTTCCAGGATGATAGAAAGTTCTTCCATTGTGTTCCATAATGTGAAGACAACGACTTCATCTTACATGGAACTAGAAGCCTATAGAAAAGCAGTAAACAATTGCAAAGTAAAAGATTTCTCTGTTTACACTCACGAAGCCCGGCTGGTGAAGTCTCCAGCTGAGCTTAAATTGATGAGAGATTCTGCATCAATAGCTTGTCAGGTAATGGTAGTTCTTTTTCTGATTGCACATGGAAAATCGTATCTGAGTTACAGAGATGGATAGATAGAGCATACATCTGACTTAACTTTCATATGTTTATTTGTCTTCTTCTGAAGTTGATACTCTTCAGGCAGTTAACATGTCACAAGGGTATTGAGAAATGACCGAGCTTGTTTCAAAATTATAAAAAGCATTGTTTGCATATCAGCTGATGGCATCTTAAGTGACATGTTTGTCATTTTGTTGTATGACTAATTTTCTTTAAAAGGTAAAAAATAAGGCATTTCCCTTTATTTCCTCTTTTTCTTTCATGTCAAGGAAGGTGTCTTCAGGTTGAAGATACTACATTCGGAAGATCCAGAAGTTATTCAAAAAAGGAAAAATGTACAGATTAAAGGATCATTAGTCTAATAGAAGACTGTTCTTAATATTCCAAAAATTTGGAGTCCGTACTTGTTCTTGCATGTACAATTCTTTCTTTGATAATGTGCTTCGGTGTTTAGTAGTTCAGAAGTTCTAGGCATGCTTAAAGAAAGATGTGTATGTACTATCCGTTCATCCTATTTCACAATCATGATTTGCATGTTTGCTTAGGAGAGACTGGTCTGGAAAATGTTTCTTCCTATTCCTGAAACTTGTATGCAGTTGTCTAGCAATATAGTTGGGTGTTATATGTGAGTGTTGATATTTCCCTGTCACTAGTTCAGTCCTTATTTATACTGTATAAAAGTTAGTTTTTGTTTCTTGATGTTCTATTGTATATGTTTTTGGTAGGCGCTTATCCATACCATGTTGTACTCAAAGTTGTTTCCTGATGAAGGAATGCTGTCAGCCAAATTCGAATATGAATGCAGAGTTAGAGGTGCCCAAAGAATGGCGTAAGTTTTTCTTGTATTATGTTTGGAAGTTTGTATTTAGAGAGGGGAGCAGCTTGCAATTTTTTAAAAGTATTTTAGTCTAACATGGGTTGCAGCAGATTGAATCAAAATGCATTTTCCTCGTATCTAAACATGCAATTGATTTTCTTTTTCTTCTATTCTCTGAGTTTCTGATAGTTTTTTGTTTTGTTTTTGAAACTGGTAATGTTGTATTCCTCAGCATTGATGTATGTTGGGGATCTCCAAAAAGGTTAACAAGCTAAAACAAGAGATTAATTACCGTAAACCTAAAGGATCTACTAACTGTTCAGCATTTTCTATACAATGTTCTTTACACCAAAAGTAGAAAGTTGCTATTCAGCTCCCTTTGATTTTCTGAATGTTGTCGAATCTATCTTCAATGCTTCTTCCATTCCTCTCCCTCCAGATAGTCCACTAGATACAGTGTGGGATTATTCTCCAC